GCCGCATTGGAGACAATCCTCCTTCAGATAAAGGACAACCACACCACACTAAACTGCTTGGGGATTCTTGGCTTTTAAAGACTGGAATTTATTAGCCAGGTGTGGTGGCACACCCCTCCGATCCCAGTACTCTGGAGGCAGAGGCAGGCAGGCAGATCTCTTAAGTTCAAGGTCAGCCATAGTTAAGTTCCAGGACAGCCAGGGCTATAAAGACCATGTCTCAAAAACAAAAACAACAAAAAACCCCAGGTATTGCTTTATAGATGCTCAAAACAAAATTGAGAGCAATCTGTTATGTATCAGTGGAAGAGCGGCAACACCACTGTTAGGTGATTTCTTTAACAGTGAGGCGAGGAAACATCTTTGTTTCAAGATTAGAACCTCAGAATTCTACAGAGTTCAAATGGACCAGCCAGGTGACGAGGGCATTTTCTATTTCCAGTTAAGAAAATGTGACCATCGGGCGGTGGTGGCAGCACACGCCTTTAATCCCAGCACTCGGGAGGCAGAGGTAGGCGGATCTCTGTGAGTTCGAGGCCAGCCTGGTCTACAGAGCGAGATGCAGGACAAGCACCAATGCTACACAGAGAAACCCTATCTTGGGAAAAAAAAAAAAAAAGATGTGACTATGATAGAATTTCCGCCCCAGTTTGGCAGGTCCTCTTAAACACAAGTCTCCTCCTCTCCGTCACCACATCCTATTTCCTGCTCCTCTACTGCTTTGCAGGTTTTTCTTGCTTTCTAATTGCAGCTTTCTTCAAAGTTCTATCCTTAAACGCGCTTAAATACTGGTTGAAAAACTTGTATCACAAAGGTACCACTCAAGCTGGGTGTGGTGCTTCCCATCTCTAATCCCAGCGCTCTCCATGCCGAGGCAAGAGGATTGCCACAGCTCGGGGCTAGCCTGAGCTACACAGTGAGTCCCAGGCCAGCCTGATTACAGAATGAGGTTTTTTGTCTCAAAAACTGAACCCAACAACACAAACCATAAAAATCGAAAAATAAAAGTTATCACTCCATGTGAGTCAGTTAGGGAGGAAAGGGTGGAACTGGCTTTGCGGGCAAAGGAGTCCCAGACGGGTGGTCAGCACCCACTTTGAAGGGGGTGGGGAATCACAACAAGCACCTGTAATTCCAGCTCCAGGGGACCCAATGCCCCCCGGCCTCTGTGGACACCTGTATTCACTCATTCGCATGCACACACCCCACCCCGCACACATAATTGAAAATAAATCTTTACAAAAAAAGAGAGTTCTCATTTTAGCCCAACTACGAATGGTAGCTGAGCCACCCAGGACAGACGCCCCAGGTGGGGGTTGTGGAGTGAGGGAGTGGAGTCTTGTTTGGCAAGGACAGTTTGTAAGCAGATTCACAGGCGGAGGAATTGAAAGTGAAAAAAGCACAGAACGGCTCCAGGGTCAAAACTATGATCTCTTTAAGTGCAGTTTCATCTTTTCCAAGGTTTGTCGGAATCTAGAAATTTCACATGGATTGTCATGATTAGTTATTGTTCTTTCTAATTACAAGGATCAAATGACCGGACACAGGAACAACAGTCTGAAGCCAGCGATCAGAAAGAGAATTCAGTATATAATCAAATTAAAACACTTCACGAAATGAATCTCATAGACTTAATGACATATAATTGTTTTTATGCTACATACGTAGGTTTTTAAAAGTTCCATAATTATCTTTCTTTTTAAAGAGCCAAACCCAGTTTTTACAACAACTTTTCTTAACACCAGGCAAACTTTCCCATAGTGTGTTTTCACACTCGCCACATACACATACAAGTGTTCTGGGTGTCCCCGTTGGTCAGCTCCCTGTTCTGATATCCCTATCATTTCTAAAATGTACAAATCTAATCATTTCTGTAACTGTGTACGCTCATGTAACAACCAAGTGGGTTACAAATGTTAACAGCATTCCACGAAGTTCCCCGGAAGTCAACTGTGCACCCCACCCCACCCTAGGCAAATTTTGTTTGTTTGTTTGTTTTTTTTTCTTTTCTTTCTTGAGACAAAGCCTTACTACATTGCCCAGGCTGACTTCAACCTCAGAATCCTCCTGCCTCAGCTTCCAGGTGCTAGGATTGGAGGTTATTAGAGATTATCACTACCTTGGCCTGCTCTTGTCTGAGTTTCTTTTAAATCAAATGACAAATGTATACTTGTGTAGGGCTGACTTCTTTCTTTTTCTTTTTTAAAGATTTATTTATTTATTTTATTTCATGCTTTGCCTGCATGTGTGAGGATGCCAGATTCCTTGGAACTGGAGTTACAGACAGTTGTGAGCTGCCATGTAGGTGCTGGGAATTGATCCCAGGTCCTCTGGAAGGACAGTCAGTGCTCTTAACTGCTGAGCCATCTCCCCAGCCCAGCCTGGATTCTTTCAATGCAGTATTTTTGAGACTGACCCACTATGTTGAGTTTATGAGTGGTCTTCCTCCTCCTCTTTTAAAAAATGTTTTTGGGTGTATGGGGGATCAAACCCAGGGCCTCAAACATATTAGGCAAGTGCTATACAACCAGTTCTTTATTCTGTCCTACTAATTAGTAGAATTACACTGCCGGTACAACTTACCAATATTTTTAATTTTTAATTTACAAAGCCTTTTGCCTTTCTGCTGGGATTATAGAGTCTAGAAGACTAGCCCGCACATGGCAGGTGCCAAATAAATACTAGGACATACATACAATTAATTTCTTCCCATCAAAAACAAATTGCATACACAAATGTTCGTGGGAAGGCAAGTGTTGGATTTGAGCACTCCTAAAATAAGGTTTTTTCTAGAGTCAGCATACACTTAGCCAGTCTCATTTTCAAGAGATCCTTCACAAACTCTACTAGTTCCCCCTTGCTCGGTACTAGGAAGGAATAGTAACAAAGGACAAGCTACAGGTGCACCAGGCTACCAGGCACTGGAGTGAGCATGTCACACGCATTAATATTTAACCCTCACAATAGCTTATAACGTAGGCTAAGTTGTTATCACTATTTCCCACGAAACTAGACAGTGGTAGAATCCACTAGGGAATTCGGCCACAGGACGTGTCCCACCAGCCCCTTGTGTCCTTTGTATCAGCAGCTGCCACATGCCCACCTTGAAAACTTTAGCTGAGGTGACCGGCAAGGCTAACGTGTGCCTCAGGGCTCAGAAAATAATAACGTCAAGTACGACGTTTGCCATGCTGAGCACTCTGAATTAAAGAAGCCTTTTAGGTCTCCCTGGCCTCCCTTCTCCTCTGTGCAGACCCTCTTTCCCTTGCGAAGTCTGAGGAGGATCTGAGCATGGGAAGCACCTCCAGGAAGAATGGAGTAGCTAGGGCTACCTCTCTTTGTCTGGAAACAAATCTAGAGTTCATACCACACTCACAGCCCAAAGGAACTGTCCTTTATATCCTGTTTTTCAGGACAGTTTACTTCCTCTAAAAATGCCAACCTGCACCCACTCTCATCCCCTACGAACTTGCTAAGACTCATTGCTTTTCCTGTCTTTCTCAATCTCTTGCAGATAGTAAGTTTTGAATATCTTTCCTCCTGTTATCTGGCTACTGCGCAGTTACCGTGGACTCAGTGATCAACCTTCAGAGGGTAGAAGGGAATTGGCTTTGCCTACCGTGTGGAACTAGCCAGAGCCCAAAGATGCTGGTAACTAGGGTATAATAAAAACTCATCTGTAGACAGCTGGTATCGTTCAACCTTGGGGGAATGGGGACACTGGCCCCATCCTTCGCTCTCCTAAGCTTAGCCACCATCACCTGGGGATCTGTCCTTCAGAGGCTGCTGCTCAGTAAACTCAGCCTCATTGAAGCATAAACGAATAGAGGCAGCCATCATAGAATTATTTAACTTAGCAGGAGCAAACAAAAAGCTGTTCACTCAAGTGTGTGTGTGTGTGTGTGTGTGTGTGTGTGTGTGTGTGTAGTGTGTGTGTGTGTGTGTGTAGTGTGTGTGTGTGTGTGTGTATGTGTGTGTGTGTGTGTGTGTGTGTGTGTGTAGTGTGTGAAGTGAAAGGAAGGACAGAGAAAACTGGTGGCATCGGATGCATTCCTCAAGTGATCCCAGGCAAATGACCTCACCACTTTCCATGATTGTAAACTAAAAGGGTTTCAGATGGTCTGGAGGGGTCTACTGAATTAGGAAATGCTGTGGATTTTTCTCCAAACACAGGACTACAGCAAAGCCATCTTTAACCAAACCTGTCAACCCGATGCCCTAAACATCCTTTTAGAGGAATCCAAGTGACTCCCTAAGGCCTCTTACATAATTCATTTCTCTTCAAGTTTTCAATACACCTATAAAAAGGCCTAACTTAGCTAACTACCTTATTTTATTTTATGGGCTCTAGGCCCAGAGCCTTGTATACAAGAACCCTACCCTACCTACCTTCCTCGTTCCCAGCTATTATTCATTATTGTTCGCCTCCATTCGGGCTGGTCTCCCGTGCTTCCTGTACATATGATACGATACCCACCAGACATCAAGCCAAAAAACACCCAGTACTTCCTCTTGGAGCCCTTGCTCGGTAAGTTCTCATTTCTTTCCAGCTTTCTTTGAATTGTCCTTCTCTTACAATGAACTCAATTGCAAGGCACAGGGTACAGTAAGAATGTACGGAAATCGGCCCGTTTTAGCCTTTGCTAACCACGAACTCCAGTACAGATTGCCGGCTTCCTTAGGCAGGAACCGTGCACCAGCGGGCTTCTCCTCCCCCCCAAAAGCCTCTCGAACGGATGCGCGCAGTTGGCGCTAACACCCCGCTAGGACCTGAAGCCTGCAGCTGCGGCAGGTGCAGGCAGCCGGGTACCAGGTGTCAATCACCCAGGGGACGCCGGGCCTGTGCACAAGATCCGGAGGCCTCGGGCAGGGTTCGCCAGCCCAGGACCTGCGCCAGGGCCTCATCCTGAACCGCCTCCTCTCCGCCAGCCTGACCGCCCCGCTGCCCGGAGGCTCCAGGCGCGGCCTGGGGGTGCCGCGCGGGGCCGAGAGCCACTCACCAGCTCCGAGGATGCACGCACCAGAGGACCCGATCAGCTACTGCGATCAGCTACTGCGACCAGCCGAGGGGTGCGGAGGGACCGTGGCGGCGCCGCACTTCCGGCCCGGGGGCGGGGCGGAAGGGGCACCCGCAAGCGCGGCGCTACCAACCGCGGCAAGGGGGGTGCACCGGCTAGCGTTTCGCGGGACTCGGGGTCCGGCGGCCGCCGGCGGCGACGAGCCTGGTTGTGCGGCCCGACAAACTCAGCCTGGGTGTCCACGAGTACGCGTTCCCCAAGTCACCTGTACGGCATCCCCCAGCCGCAGCCGCCCCTGCACGCCGGCCTCCCCGACTTCCAGCGCCGGTCCCGCGGCCCTTCCGCATTCCTCGGCCGAGGGCGGAGCGCCAGCGCTGGAATTTGACCCGGGTGGGCCGCGATCCGCCCTGGTTTTGGGGTCCCCTGGCGCCGGTAGTGGCCAGTCCGAGGTTGCTTGATTTAGCAAAGGGCAGTTGGCCTGATTGAACTGATAAACAGTTTTCTAGAGAAGGAATGTAATACGGAAGAGGGCGGCGGCTGAGCACTCCCCCTGTGAGCTCCAAGAAACGCCTTCGCTGATTTGAAAACGCACTCCAGTGCTCTTTACTTTCTCCCCAGTTCCTACTTGCAGATTATCAGGGCTCAGCCAATGTCTGGTTCATTCAGCTTTCAATCACAAGAAAAGGTTTGAGTTATTTTTAAAGACAGGATAGAATTAAGAGCACGCACCGCACAGGATTTGTTCCAGATTCTGTTCAAGGTTGTATTCTTGAGGATAGTTTTTTTTAGCCCCCTCATATTGGGATAATCCAGATGAGTAGCACTATTTTAAAATAATGAAGGGTAGTCAATCTAGTAGCAGTGTTGGTTAAGCACTTTTCTTTTTTCTTTTTTTGGCCTAAACGTGTGCCAGGTGCTGGGAAGACGATTAAGAGGGTCTTCCTTCTGGAGTTCATATCCTAGAAGTCTGAGCAGAAATTCCTAGAAGGTAGGAACACCATGTGTGCCCAGCACCGAGTAGTACTTGCAACACAAAAACAAGTTAGGGGCCAGCAAGATGGGTGGGTCAGCAGGTGAACCCTGACTACCTGAGTTAGATGCTCAGGACCCACACAGAGAACCAACTCCTGCAAGTTGTCCTGAGCTCCGCAGGCAGGCACCAGGGAGTGAGCAATTCCCTCCCTCTTCAAACAAAGTACGTAGATAAAACGTAAAAATAAAAGAACCCCCCCCCCCCCCCCCCCCCCCCCCCCGCCAAATAAACTGAGGGTGGTTTTAAATCTGCACTTGAAAATCTGGCACTGGTATTGAGTAGGTCAGAGATGGAAAATAATCTCCATTTTTAATAGGCACCGGGTGATGCCGATGCTATGTCTGGTCCCGAGTATTCTTTCCCTTTGATGCTGTCCTTATTCGTCGTTGTTTAAATAATGATGTGTATTATAAGTTTGTCACAGAACCCTTCCAGTCTGTTACCACTTCCTGAGCCGTCACCCTACACAATGCACGATCAATTACTAGGTGGGATGTGGTGGCACGTGCCTTTAATCCTGGCATCCCAGTGGCAGAGAAGCAAGCAGCAGGGCCTTGAGCTCAAGGCAGACTTAACACAGCAAGACCCCCTCTCAAAAAAACCAGAGTGAGGCTGGAGGGATGGATCAGTGGCAAGAGCACTTGCTATGCAGGCAAGAGGACCCAAGATTGAATTCCGGCGCTCAAATACAGGCCAGGCTTTCCCCCTCTATAAACAAGACCTCATCTCTAAGAATAGGTCCTTTGAGCCTTGTTTTCTCTTCAGGATTTTTTTTTTCAGGGACCCACTAGTGAGCAAAACAAGAATAACTACAATTTGAATAGCCGCTGCATTCACATCTTTTTTCACGTTTCTAATTTTTGTAGCGAACTGAGAAGGGGGCATTCCTATTTCAGATGAGGAAGCTGGCAATTTAAGGAGAGCCTGACCACAAGTCTACTTGGGCAACAGGTGGGGTTTATTCAGCCACACCCAGCTCTAGACACATGTTGCTTTTAATCATAAATGCCAGTATGAACAGTGTTAGTTCATTTTATAAGTGAGTAAACAGGTCAACAAAGGTTAAGCAGCTTGCCTAAGCCCTGGTGTAGCAAAACTGGGACCTGAAAATGCAGGTCTGCCAGAGTCCTCAACGTCAACGCTGTTCACTACCGTTTCACTATGGTTTCTACATTCAAAACCAGCTAATGGCTTGATGCGTGCCAAATCCGATGGGCTCCTTTCAACTCCCCCACACTTTTCTGTGACTTCCTAACTATCCTCCTTCCTCCTAGAACTAGCTTTCTGTAACTGTTTTGGTGGCCCACACCCCTCAAAGCCTCTAGTCAATATCTACTTGATTCTTAAACTTCTTGTCCTTGTTCTCCTCACAGTTTGTACAAAGTGGCTCCCTTCCCAGAATCTCAGAATCTGCTTCCACCTTTTTTTTTTAAAAGTTATTTATTTTATTATGTATATAGTGTTCTGCCTGCATGCCAGAAGAGGGCACCAGATGTCATTACAGATGGGTGTGAGCCACCATGTGGTTGCTGGGAATTGAACTCAGGACCTCTGGAAGAGCAGCCAGTGCTCCTAACCTCTGAGCCATCTCTCCAGCCCTCCACCTGTCTTTTATTCTGGTCCTCCTCCCTTTGTCCCAGTCAAATTCACTTCCTGCCCTTAAGTCTCAAGTTCCCTGATCAAATTCAATTTGGGCACTGGAGTCCCAGTGGCGACATAACCCTAAGCAGGTGGCAGGGAGCTGCCCCATGGGTTGCTTTACTGGGGCTTTTGAGCTGGATGGTTTCAAGATCATTCTCATCATGGAAACTTTAGAGACTGGTTCTGCAGTCCAGTCCGCTGCTAGGGAAGATTCTTACAGCTACTCACGGGCATCTATTTTTGCTTACGCAAAACCCAGCTACTACTACGAAGAGAATCCTACTAGCAAATTAAGAAGTCATTCCATTCAGGATTGACCACCTAATGTTCCTAACAGCTATTTAAGAGGTGCCCAGATGGAAATGATGTTGCAAGAGATAATTTTAGTAGTACTTTTTTCCTATAGTGTGGAAATAACTTACTTCTCATTGAAGATATGTTAAAGCAGAGATGGTAGGTTTGGGTTTTGTTTTGTTTTCAGTAGAAATGGAAATTCAACAAGACTAGCACCGAGTGGATAAGCTGAAAAAGATATTTTGCTGAATGAAATTCAAGCAGGAAATTAGGACAGATTTCTGTGATTCTAATCTTGAATGAAGCAAAGAATAGTTGTTACCAGTCCCCCACCCCCACCCCTCATTCTACTCGCTGCCTCTCTAACCTGCTGCTCAAAGGCATTCCGGAATTGTTTATCAAATGAGGTAATGGTTTCCTTCAAGGATAGTCTTGTTGAAGCAACCCCCTCCAACCCCCATGTTTCAAACCCTTTTAACTTGGGAATTTTTGAAACATTAGAAAACTAAACAGAACAAGTGTTTTCCCCAATTAACTCAGCAACAGTTCTGAATTATCACAAATAACAGAAGTTATTTTTAGGATCGAAACAATGACCTCACTTTCCCAGGCATGCAGCCACAGCTGTTCTGACTGTGGGTAGGTCAGGAATGTCTAAAACTCATACATGGGCTCATGATGAATCTCTCTGCATAAACAAACATGGTCTTTCAATAGGGGTTGCTATAATAAGGAAAAACTACACAACAGAAAAAAAAAATTCTATGTGTATTTCCAACAGCTGGAAATATAACACAGAAATCTTTGTTAAAAGCATTCCACAGAACCTTTAAAGCTGAAATAGTTTTTAAATAGAACAAATGAAAAGTGGTATATTCAGTGGCCTGATCTTATTTTAGGTGGCAGGAAGTAATGTACCGAAGTTAAAAGTGGGAAGCGATAAAGCAAGAGCATCAAACTCCAGTCTTCTCAGCTACTCAAGGGACCACAATTCTGCAGGAATTATTTCCAAAACTGAAGACCAAGTCGAGGAAACTCAAATAGGGCAGTTAAAATCTGATTTCCCTAGGAGGGGAGAAATAAACAGGAGCAGAGGAAACTGGGACTGCTTTAAAAAACACAAGGAACACCGGAGGGGGTCCGGGCAAGCTTGGATAGGAACGACATTTACCTCTTCTACCCTGCTTTCAAAGACGCAAGTGAAACTAAAGTCACGTGGGAAATAAGTTTAAACGACTAAGTATTTTATCAGAAAGTTTAATTATCATTCAGAAAAAATTGAGTGGATAACTTTCTCTGAAAAAATATATTGACTCTGTGTGGGCTGCAGTTATACACAGGAGGGACAAGACTGCCTGTAAGTTAATGACCTCACTTTCTAGTCGGATAATGACAGAAAGTCCCATTTCCAGTCTGATTATAAAGGTACATGTGGCCCAAAGAGGCTGAGATTATATAAATACAAAACAAGAAAGGGGAAAAGAGGAAGCTAGGGCATGTAACAGGTTCCAGGAGGGAGATCTCAGAAATACCCCAAGTGGCAACAGGGAACATTTGGCTGGAATTTGGAGCTCTTCAGTCGTCCTTTTCTTTGGCTCCGTGCTTGAGGATGCGTGTGAACTCGATGTAGTTGAAATTCCCCTTTTTGTCAATGGGGGCCTCCCGGTACAGCTCATCCACTTCCTCATCTGTGAACCGATCGCCCATGGTGGTCAGCAGTTCCCTCAGGTAATCCTCCTGGATGGTGCCTGGAGAATAAGGAACCGAGGGTCAGAACACCCATACCCAACAGCACAGCCTATGTATTTCCACCGGCTCTGGCAACCCTAGTACAGAGACGACCAGATGCTCAATGGCATTACTCTGCTCTGTCTGCCCACCCCACATCCTTCTTTTTGGTGTTCAGCAAGAGGCTATACCTATTGTACAAGTCAATAGCAATCACCTGCTACCTGACATCATTTTCATAAAACCCACCTGCCAAAAAGAATGCAATTACTTACAGAGCAGAAGCAGGATCCTGTTTCAGCCCTGATTTCTTTTCTAGGACTGGGAGTTTTAAAGAGCTCCCCAAGTAACTTGTATGCATAATGATTAAGAACCTTTAATAAATTAAGGTAGAAAATAAATGAAACAGGTTTAATCATAAAGCAAAAAAGAAAAGACTCTGACAACTTCCTGGCATGTGAAACTAATACACTAAGAATGTATTTCATACAAAGTGAGCTCGACAAACAAAATGAGAAATAAAAAAGAAACCCTAATCCTACATTTTTAAGAGATCCCTAGCCGGGCGGTGGTGGCGCACGCCTTTAATCCCAGCACTCGGGAGGCAGAGCCAGGCGGATCTCTGTGAGTTCGAGGCCAGCCTGGGCTACCAAGTGAGTTCCAGGAAAGGCGCAAAGCTACACAGAGAAAACCTGTCTGGAAAAACAAAACAAAACAAAACAAACAAAAAAATCCCTAAAATCTTAGGAGTGTAGCTTTGTAGAAATAAATCATTATCTTCAGCCAACTCACTTGATTGGCACATAAATTAACACAACTAAAATAAATCAACCATGAATGTGTCAGGAGATAGGCACAAGTAAACAACTTGGTGCATGGAAAGGAAAGACTCACTGTTTTTGAGGAGCCAAGAGAAAGTCTACAAAATCACACTCACATGTGCTCATGTGTGCCTCTTTTGTGGATGAGGGCCATACATGAAAATCAGAAGATGGCCATTCTGTGGGGAGTTTGAAAGCTAGAGTGAGGAGACCATGCTTCCCTCAGCTGGCCCTGACAACAACCAGCATTTAAACTAGCCTATGTAATGTAGGAAATCAGAGGTGTGCCTTCCCTCTCTACACACGCTGGCTGAGCCACAAAGTGGAAATCTTAGAAAATATGCTGGTCCTTCTACTTTTGCCAAAGGACTAGGCATTCCTATAGTTAACACTTTTTGTTTTAATGGTTTGTTTTTTGGGATATAGTCTTCTTACTGGGTAGCCCAAACCCATGATTCCAGACTCAGCCTTCTGAGTGCTGGGCTTACAGGCCAGTCCTGCTGCTACACCACAACTAGCACTTCATTCTCCTCAGTCAACTACGTCAGCAGCATGCTAGGCACTAAGGACACCATGTCGTTTCCCCAGTTCATCCTCTCAACAGCTCTATGAGATAGGTCATATTATTGCCAGTTTCATCAAAAACAGAAAGAGAACCGTACCGAAGTGACCTGCCCCGAATTACACAGCTATCAGACACTGAACGATTCTGGAGTTGAGAGACGCCCGATAGGCAAACACAAGACAGTGCTGTGCTGTGCTGTGGTCTGTAGCAATTTACCAGGTTCCTCTGGTCAGTTACTCATGTAACCCAGCACTGACAGCCAGGACCCTGGAGGAATTAACCTTTAAATAAGAGTGTAAATATGTTTCCCAAAGACGTTGCAAATGGAACCAACGAACCTCTGAAAACTACTAATACTTAAGGAGAGGAGGAGTAAGGTGAGTGATGAGCGCACCAAAAGAAAGCTGCAAAGAAAACCTTCTTCAAAAAGTGCTGATTCACTACATTTGAAGTACTGCATATTTTGTTACCTAACTAAAAACCAACTCTGTGATTACATTACCCCTGACTTACCTGTTGCTTCCTCGTCAAAGCAAGCGAAGGCATTTCTGATGACATCTTCGGGGTCTGTGCCATTCAACTTCTCTCCAAACATGGTGAGGAACATGGTGAAGTTGATGGGCCCCGGGGCCTCATTCATCATGGCATCCAGATATTCATCAGTTGGATTTTTTCCTAAACAAAAGGAGCCCATATTCGTAATCACATTAGGAAATACACCAACTATTAATCACGGTAAACATTCTGGCAGGAAATGAAACCGCTGTATTGTTGGCTATCTGGGTTCATGACAGCAAAACTATGGGAAAGTTTGGAGACATATAGTTAAGTATATAATATTCCAGTGAGATGCTAGAAGGATTAGTACTGCCTTTAATCAAGATCTTTCACTTTCTCTTTTTAAGGATTTATTTTTCATTGTGTATGTATGTATGTATGTATGTATGTGCTGGTACGTGCAAATGCGTGCAGGTGCCCACAGAATCCAAAGGAGCAGGACTCCCCCTGCAGATGGAGTTACAGGTGGTTGTGAGTTACTGAATGTAGGTGCTGGGAACCAAACTCAAGTCCTCTGCAAGAGCAGTATGCAGTCTTGAGTCTTGGCCATCTCTTCAGCCCTCACTTTCTCAAACACCCATCCACAAACACGCATGCACACACAGTCCTTCAGCCCAACCCTGAGGTAGGGACAGGTGTCTGCCCCAGTGGGAAACACTGTTTCAAAATTCATCACTTAGATGGCTTCATAGAGCTTTAAGAATCATGAAAAATGTGAAGGAAATTCTACCCAATACATCGACATTGTAAGTGGACATTACCCATTGAAGCAAGCATGTCGTGCAAGTCTTCCTTGTCGATGAAGCCATCCCGGTTCTGGTCGATCATGTTGAAGGCCTCTTTGAACTCTTGGATCTGGGACTGGTCAAACATGGCGAACACATTGGATGTTGCGCGCTGAGGGCGCTTCTTGGTGGTCTTGGTCTTTGCCCTTTTGCTCGACATGGTGATGGTTAAATCCTAATTAAGAAAGAATTCAAGGGAAATAAAATCAGTATCTGAGATTACTAAGTATGAATCATAACAGTGATTAACAAAGATAAGTGGAATCATCTTTATATCAGTCAGTGGTATGTTTCAGTGGGGTAACATAACCAGGTAAAAACTTCTAGCTATTCAGGACTATCACCCCAACAACCAAACTAAAAGGGAAAAACTAGTCTTGAGTTTTGAGTTCACTCACTCTTAAAGTTAAAAGATTTTTATAAAAAGACCATCACTTATTTCCAGTTCCAACCAACATCATGTCAAAGCTCACAGCACATCAAGACTGCACATCCCTAGTGCTACCATGGGACCTAGCAACAAAAGAAAAATAAAAACCAAGGAGAGGTGTATGTATCTATGTGTGTGTGTGTGTGGGGAGGGACCTTAGATACACGGGAAACAGTAACAGTTCTTATACATTAGCACTACAGGGTTGCTAAGAGGTACTAATTCATGTTCAAAAGCCTAGCCTTTTGCAGCTCACCCCTAAAATAGCAGTTCTAGTCCATCAGAGAAAGAATGACCAATGGACAGGCCTCCCTCCCAATCTCTACTGACAAATGCTGTTCTTCCATTCAGAAAACATTACAGATTGCACTCTCATTTCTGGATTCAATGTAGTTCAAGAACATTTTGCTGAAAGGCTAACATAAAAGCATAGAAACTGAAGTTAATTCACCAGGAGTTAAGTCTTACAGACTGTACTTTATACAGACCTGTTCTGCACTCAACACTGGATATAACTAAGACTTCTCTTTTGAAATCAGAACACAAGTTGTAAAGCAATTTCATTTAAAGAACACCTTAAAATCACAGATACTATCTTTGCTCTCTGATAAATTTATCCCTGTAAAACTTAAAAGAACATCTAATACATAAGATGAAAATATATTTTTCCTGTGAACATGCAACTTTAAAACAATATAAAATATTTGAAGTGGAAAACCCCATAGCTATCAGATAAAAAAATTCTAGCGTACCATTCTTCAGAGGTGAGTTGGAGATGACAGCCTGCAAAGTCCTGATCAGCAAGACTAAGTCACTGTTGAGTTATAGTCCCCCGGCAGGGCTAAAACAGGCACTACTGACTCCACTCTGACCAAGATAACAATTTTAAAGCTTACGTTCTGAAAACAACATTTAGCCATGATGCGCAAAGCACCATGCCCTTGCTCTAAAAATAAGCCTGTGGACTGCAAAGAATGAACCGCTACCTAGATTCCAGCACCCAAAGTGACCCTTAGAATGTTTCCTATGAGTGAAGAAAAAAAAAAAAAAAAAAAAAGAAGCAGCTATTTCTGACATTCTTGATTACACCACATCAACAGAGTACAAACAATTATGGAAACAATCAGAAAAGCTCTGCTCACATTACTTTATATGTCAATCTGGTTTCAGATTTTAGTAGGAAATTCTTAAAAAGCTGGTCAGTCACAAACCCAGTTAGTTCATCTACTACAGCACATTAGGCAGTACAGCAAAATGCCTTTGGAAAGACATTATATATTCTCACAAATTCTCAGCAATTATATATTCTCAATTTTCCTACTTCTATTTATCCTTTAGGAGACTGTCTTTTATAACCCATTGAAAGCGTTCATGAATGCACATTTTCACTCTGATATAGTTGGGAGGCTGTACATCTCATTTACTACACAGTTATATTCTTCCCTCCTGCTCTAAATGGTTAATGACAAGGTGTTATAGAGACTATTATTACTGCCTCTTAAAATGCACTCAAGAACTTCAGTGAGAGTTGAGACCACTGAGTGACACATACTTACTAGTTCATACCTCTTCAATATTTTAAGCATAACATGCCTTTGCAAGTCAAAAATCATCTTCAAAAATAGCCTGTTTTGTATGACAGCATTGTTTCCCTTCCCCCAATGACACAGGAATGTCAGTTATTTTAAGAACAGAAGAACTGATGAGAATCACAGGTCAAATGGCTGACGAAGGTGAATTTTTAATCTACAAAAATCTCATGTAAAACTAAATTTGATGGGGGTACTCTTAAAATTTCTTTATAAAAATGCTTAACATGTTAAAAGTAACATGTAACTTTTAAGAATATATTTCCTAATATTTAAACCATGAATTTAAAAATTAGTAAATGCACTCTTTTCGTCTCTGGCCACCACAGGGAAAGGAGCACTGCCATGTCTACCCATCTACAATGGATGGTGGTTCAGAACTGCTCCAGTTTCCTGATTAAGAGGAATAAGCAGACGTACAGCACCAAGCCCAATAGTCTGAAGGTCGGTTACAACAGGCTGATTCACAACAATACTGTGGGAGTGCAGCCCGCAGCAGAAGGCAAAGGGGTCGTGGTGGTCATGAAACGCAGATGGGTCAGAGAAAACCAGCCACTTCATAGTTAAGGACCACCATCAACAAGAATGCACGGGCCACCATCAACAGTCTCAGGCACATGATCCGAAAGAGCAAGTATGGACCTGATCTGTACATGGTGGCCATCTGCAGGACCAGTGCCATCCTGTGAAGCCAGAAGCCTGTGGTGGTGAAGAGGAAACAGACCATCCCACCAAGAATTCCGGAGCCCCACACCCCAGAAACAATAGAGTCCACTGACTTTTTCAACCACACACACACAAAAAACAAAAATTAGTAAATGCATTACAAAACAGGAGAAAAGATTTTTTTCTTGGTGTTTTATTTAGCATTAACAATAACTTCACCCAGAACTTTAGCCCATCCCATGCTTAATTCAAATGACTGTATTAGGACCAGCTAATTATATTAATGTACATCAAATGTTATTAGCATTGAACACTAGTCAAAAGTTAAAAATGTAAAGCACATATCTGACCTATCTTAAAGAAGTTAAAATATAGTTGGAAAGGCAACTAACTATAAAGAAATGCATTGATTAGTTCAACTTACGAAATGAGCTACATACTTCCCATTCCAGAGGTATGACGCTCAAGTTAAAACAATGCACAAAAATGACATAATGAAGCTGGGAATGGTGGTGAATGCCTTTAATCCCAACAACAGGAGGCAGAGACAGATGGATCTCTGTGAGTTTCAGGACAGCCAAGGATACATAGTGAGACCCTGTCTCCAAAAAAAGAAGAAAGAAAACGACTCATCAGGTGGCATACAATCATCAAACACTGAGAGTTCAGAATTGTTCACTTATTTCTACAAGATCGGAGAGGAGACTAAATAATCCAATGCATTATCACTTGGAAATTCTAAACTATCTTTACAACCAAGAGTCTGATGTTCATCTTAATTCAAGGAGTTAATTCTGTCCAAATCTGATAATGTAATGTTGAGTAAGTTACTCTCTGGGCCTCAACTTTTTCAAGCAGATGAGATGGATTCAAGAGTTTATCTCCCAACACAGAAACTTGGAGCTTCACAGCCGTGGGATGGTCAGCTACACACCTATACAAAACAACAGAAGTTGTTTATCTCTTCATACCAAACTACAAGCATGGCTGGAATAAACTTAGGTAAAGGGATCACGAGGACACTGTGATATCAAAGAGATCATGTTTGACCGTGGTAGATTTCTCTTTGCTGTGGTTCTAAGACACCATTCAACTATCACAAAAAGTGAAGCAGCTGTAAAGCATAATTCTCATGTTAGTTTAAAAAGTTAGAGCAAAGTGAAATTGCAAATATTTTATAATCGTTGTAACGATTTTTTTATTTAGGGTGCAAGGGAGGATCACCTGAGATCACTTTGGAAGCCTTTGTGAAAGATCTTTGGGGTGAAACTTGAAAAGCAGGAAGATGTGCAGACTGGCCTTCTGGTAAACACATGAGGGTTTCACAGCATCAGGAAGAGAAGGCAGGACAGTCAAAGGTGGTTAGGGATGTAAGAGCATAACCTTGCTTTAAGCTGAGACAGTGCTGCAGCAATGACTTGTATGGTGTGGATTGTTTGTTCTGCAGTTCTGGGGATTGAGCCTAGGGCCTCACACGTTAGCTAAGCACTCTACCGCGGAGCCACACCCCCAGCCCAAGCAATCTGGTGTGTTGGCAGTTTGCTAAGATGGGAGCCTCATGCTCAAGGAAGATGTCAGACTATGACCCGGGGCAAACAAAAAACATCCTCCGAGAGACTTTCTACACATACCAAGGGCAAAGGGGATTTTCAGAATCTTTAGAAATGTAGAATTTATAGAAACTACAGTATCTTAAGTTTTGAAAAAGCTAAGGCTGGGTGTGGCGTTTCATAACTGGGAATATAATCCTAGCACTTGAAGCAGGAAAGACCGTCTCAAGTTTTAGGCCAGGATGGGCTACAATTAAACTTTATCTAAAATAACAACAACAAAGCAGCCTATGAAACATAAAAAGAAGGACCGATCCATACTTTATACATGAGACTGCCTAAGTTAAAATAGTAGAACCTCACACTCCTAAACTGGTAATACATGTAAAAGATAAAAATTCTTTAACAGAACACCTAAACTAAGCATACTTAGGAAATACCATCTAACGAAAAACTCTCTTAAAACCGGGAAATATATCCTTTAGAAAACTCCCATCTCAGAACCTCGTAGGGTGCTAACACCTAGGTATTTGGCCTGCTTTGAACTCCAGCTCAAATCTGTCTCATTTAAATCAGTGCCATTTTTTTCCATGATGAGATTTTTGTGTGTGGAGGGGGCTTGCAAATTCAGTTTTTGAAAGGGTTATTTTCAAGTTGGTGTTTCAGTCCCAAGAAAGTTTTCATTTCTTAGGCACACTTCCGGTTGAGAGTCCGATCTCCCAGACAGCCACACCCAAGAGTTCTGAACACCTTTTAAAAAGTCAATTAGTTGCCAGGATGACTTGTCAACTACGCCTCACCTTTGAAGATAAAATGCTTTTCTATTTAATCCTCATCAAGGGCCATCCACAAAAAGAAAATACCAGCTATTTTAGTAAAGATTTGCTTTCTTCACCTTTTGATACAACTTTTGCATTTTAAGAAGTTAAAAATCTTAAGATCGATCTCTCTAAAGATCCAATAACATATTGTATGCACCTACTGAACGACTCTAACTAAAAACACTCCTGTGTAAAGTCGACTTAGTCCCCTCGAGAAGCAAATGAAAAACCCCAATCTCCTCCCTGTTCATGGATCACTTAAAGAAAAAGTTCTGATTAGAGGAGCGCACCCTGAGCCGCCAATTTGAATGGGTTCTTCCTACTGCACGCAGCCGCACAGCGGCAACGACAGCTGCAGAGAGGGGCTGTGCTACAGTTTTATCTGCAAACTCTCTCCAATTTGGCAAGTTTACGTTAGCAACCAAACATAGTTCCCGAGTCAGCTCCTGCAGGGCTCTGGTTTCGCGGGCCGGCAGTCGCCCAGGCGTGCGGCGCCAGCGAACTAAGCAACATTTATTTTCCAAGCTCCAAGTTTGGCAAACAGAACAAAGTCTGCGTCCCGGCCGCCCCAGCCCGCCCCAAGTCCCGCGGCTTTCGAACCCACAGCCGCCAGCCTGGGCTCAGCCCGCGATCGCGCAGACACACCTGCCCAGGTGCGTTCCCCGCCCCGCGGCTCCGGGCGGCCCCGCGCTCACCGCCGCCCCGCGGGGGGGGGACACCCTCTCAGGTCGGGCCCCACACGTCCCCGCGGCCAGCCCCACTCACCCTGCTCAGCCGCGAGAAGAAAGGGTGTCTCCGCGAAGCCCCGCCGACCGCTCCCACCGACTTCACAACTCTCCAGCAGCCCGAGAACGGCCACTTCCGGCCTCCGCCAGCAGACCGGAAGTAAGCCTAGCCACCATTCGCCGCCGCCTCCGTGGGCCAGCGCTGACCGGAGGGGACCTCGGGGAAGATGCCCGAGCAGTTGGAGCGCGCAGGGCGCCGATGGGGAGTACAGAGCGAGGAACTTAGAACACAAAAGGTCGTGTAGAGGATCTCTTGTTCTAAGGACTGACTCTTGGTCATTTTTTGCGTCCCTCCTTGAATTGTGATCCTGCTTCCCCCCCCCTTTCCTTTCAGCAGATGGTTGCGTCCGTCCCGTAGCTTTCCTTTGCCCGCATTCCAGAGCTGGGAGAGAGGCGGGGACCCGGGGCCCAATTTCCATGTAGGGAAATCGCGGAGAGAGAGAGAGAGAGATGCCGCGGGCCTCCCGTGACTGGCATTGGCTCCGCCCCGGAGCGCCCGGCGTCCCCGTCCGGCTGGAGTGCGCCTGTGCAGGAAGTTGGTGTGAATCAGCGTCGAGGTCAGCACCTCCGGGGCCGGTCAGCGCGGGAGGGCGTGTGCGAGCGGTTTGAAAAGTTACGAAGTGGCCTTTTATGGAGTACCTCACTCTTTCCACGTGGGAGGAAACAGTGAACGTTCTGGGCCCCAGGGTCTCCCTGGTTCGGTTTAGAGTTCATGAATTCGATGGCTCCCTCTCCCAGAAACGTTCCCTGGAACTTCCTACCAGAGTCAGTCCCCTTTACCCTGATGGTGACTCCTGCTCCACCCATCGCTCCAGGGTGACCTGGTGAAATGGGACTAAAGTGCTGGACCCATTTACCCCCCAGGTCTCCTTGGTGAGTCAGCTGCCAACAATTGTTAAAGGAAAAAGCCTCCTTGATCCCTTCGGCCCTGCCCGGAATCCGGCGAAGGCTGTATATTGGTGGTGGTCATCTCGAGATCACGATCCTGAGACCAGAGCAGTTCTAAGAGTTCCAGCTTCATCTTCAAAGCTCTGTCCCTTGACTCACGAAAACGAAGGCGCTTTTTCCTGAATGATACGTGTTAAATGTACCTAAGACCAACTGTTTTCCTTCATGGAACGCGCATTGATAGGGTTTAAAGTTAACTCAGAGGTAAAGCCACTGAAGAAAAACGTTGCCCTAATTCTATAGGTGACAAACAAGATTTTCCTCCCTTCTTTGGTAATATGAATCACTTGCAGTGCTAACTAAAAATACAAAGAATTGGGTAATTCGTCTCCAGCTCCCTGAATTAAAAGTCTTCAAGAACAGGTTATGGGACGTCGAGGTCTTAAGGGGGTCCAACATGACTTTTGGGGAAGGTTGGGGACACAGCTGGTGGCAGGCTGTGACAGGACAAACTCAGGAGGGCTGAGGGGTCAGAGACAGTGGTGGGTTCTTGGAGTGTGACTTGCAAGGCAGCCCCGCACACAGGTGGTGGCCTGTCACACTGGGAAGCTCAGGCATTCTGGGCTGGCTGAGGGGGAAACCAAAACCCCTGAGATAATGAGGAGGAAATGGGCAGTTCAGTTTCCCCTTCACCTGGAAAACAGCACGTTGTTGCTTCTGGAGGAATTCCCGTTGTGTCCTGTCTGATCAGCTAACAGGTATTAAACTGGTCCACACTGTGGTGGGGGCTGTGGTTTGCCCGTTTTAAAAACGAACAGTTGCCGCCTCTGGGATGGGGTTGTGGGATGAAACAGAAAAGGTGGAGAATTAGAGGGAACAAATATGGAACAGGTGACGGAAGAGCAGATAGACCCACCTGGGGACCAGTGGAAGATGTCCCCAGGGGGCACCTGGACTGGTTCTAGGGGTTAGTGGAGGAAAGGAGGGAACGATGTCCAGTTTGTCTGGAGGGGCAAAGAACCTGGCTGAGTGAAAGTTGGTTTCTGTTTACCCTTTATTCAGCTCCACAGAACCAAGTCAATGTGGAAAAATTAATTGAAGTTTTACTACTCTACCTAATGTCCTGATATGAAATTTTAATGATTAGGCCCACTACCGAAGGCCTCTGATGCTGTTTGATGTCCCTGTTCTTTTGGAACTTAGAAGAGCTCTTCCTAAAGCAGCAGGTGAGAACCTTCTCACTACAAGTTTGACAATCTGGGTTCTGCTCCATATCTTTCCTTCAAGCAGCTGCTGCGTACCTCTGAGAGCAAGTCGCTCGGTTGACCTCATTTTTCTAATATCTCTCCAGCCTGCCTTACGGGGCTTTCTGATTAAATGAAGTCATTTATAATTTTATTTTTCTTGATGATTTTATTTTGTGCATATGGATGTTTTGTCTGCATGTACATCTGCACACCAGAAGAGGGCATCGGATCCCATAGGACAACAGTTATCCTGTGGGTGGTGGGAATTGAACTTTGGATTTCTGGAAGAGTAGTCAGCATTCTTAACTGCTGAGCTATCTCTCCAGCCCCTCATTTATGACTTAAGAAGATTTTTCTATGTACAGAAGAGTGGCTTAAAGTGTGTGTGTGTGTGTGACTGTGTGGTGCATATAACTTATTGTGCAGGTACACACACCATGCATGAGCATGTGGAAGCCAGAACAAGATATCAAGTGTCTTCTTCAGGTGTCTTATTCTGGCACTGTCTTTCATTGAACCAGAAGCTCCCAGTTTCTACTAAGCTGGCTGGCCAGTGAGCCCGTGGAATCCTCCTGTGTCTGCCTCTCGGTGTTGGAGTTACAGGCACACACAGCAAGTGCTTTTACCCACTGGGCCGTCCACTCTGCTTCTAGTGGCTTTCAAACTTTTTCGTTGCTGTTTTTTTGTTTTTTCGAGACACGGTTTCTCTGTGTAGTTTTGGTGCCTGTCCTGGATCTTAGACCCGGCTGGCCTCGAACTCACAGATCTACCTGGCTCTGCCTCCTGAGTGCTGGGATTAAAGTCGTGCACCACCACCACCCGGCTGGCTTTCAAACTTTTTTTTTTTTTTTTTTTTTTCGAGACAGGGTTTCTCCGTGTAGCTTTGCGCCTTTTCCTGGAACTCACTTGGTAGCCCAGGCTGGCCTCGAACTCACAGAGATCCGCCTGGCTCTGCCTCCCGAGTGCTGGGATTAAAGGCGTGCGCCACCACCGCCCGGCGGCTTTCAAACTTTTAACTGAAACTTGTAGTAGGAAATTTATATCAGGGCTGGCAGGATGGCTCAGCCTGCCACCAAATCTGATGACCTAAATCCAATCCCTGGGACCTACATGGAAGAAGGAGAGCACAACTGAAAGGTTTCCGAGCCCCGATATTAAGTCTCTCCGCCAACGCAGTAAGCCAAATCGAGCCCAATTAAAAAGTAAAGGACCAGGTTTAATCTGAGCAAAGCAGTCCTGGGTGACTCTCAGGAAAGTGGGGGGAGGGGGGCAGGAGAGAAATCACATGGCCGGTTTAAAGGGCGTGGTTTAAATACCCCTTAGGGGCACAGAGTGATGACATGCCCCAAGGCGGGTTCGTGCTATGGTAAGCTTATAGCAGGGTCTTGGGCCACTGCCCTGGAACTGGGCTTTCCACAGTTTCTCTGAGAGGACAGGGTTTGGAGGGGGAGGAGTGGAGCGAACCGTAGGCACAGGACAAACTGGGTAGAACTCGACTTTTGGCAGTTTCTCTGAGAGAGCGGGGTTTGGGGAGGCAGGAATGGGACTTTCTCAGCTGGGAGAGCTGTTCCAGGTGAACACCAACTTCCAAAAAAGCTGTCCATTGACACCCACAAAATAAGTAAATTCAATAAAAATTAAAAAGAAATGTGTATCACTAAGCAATATATATCTGTGATGTTTTGCAAGATGTCCTATTAAAAATCTGTATTAATTCACATGGCTGCCATATATATATATATATATATATATATATATATATATATATATATATATATTCTCAAGCTAGGCATCTTAAATAACAAGAATTTGTTTTCTACTTTGTGGAGGCTGAGAAGTCCAAGATTAAGGAACTGACTGCTTCACTTCTTGCTGAAGACCTTTATGGCTTACACACAGCCTCCTCCTTGCCCTATTCTACATGGCAGGGAGAAGTTTTCCCTCCTCTTCCTGTGAGTGCTGACTGAATAGGGCCTCACCCTATGGTGTCTCTAAATTTTTATTATCTCCTAGGGTTCCTCTCTCGAAATAGCACTCACATCCCACTAAAATGTGAGGTTGTCTTCCACTGATGCTGTGGTTCTCAATAGCCAGGGTTAAGGAGTGTAGATTTTGCCTTCCTAATGCTTTGACCCTTTAATACAGTTCCTCACGTTGTGGTGACCCCCAACAAAAAATTATTTTAGTTGCTACTTTGTAACTGAAATTTGGCTACTGTTATGAATCGTAATGTAAATATCTGTGTTTTCTGATGGTCTTAGTCGACCCCTGTGAAAGGGTCATTCCAATCCCCGAGAAGTTGTGACCCACATGTTGAGAACTAGTGCTCTAAAGGAACACTTGGCAACATCAGGAGACATTTGGGATAGTCATAAACAGGGCTGCTACTGGGATGTAGGGAGTAGAAGTCAGAGATTGCTGTCTAAAGGGCTAAGATTGAGAAAACACTACACTAATGTTTGGGGGGGGGGCTCAGTATTACAATGATTATTTGGGGGTACTATGAATACAAAAATGACAATATTTATTTCTCCTTCCTCAGAGTAAGATATTTATTTTTCTGAGGTCGGGGCTAAACAGAAAGAAGGAGCTAATAAAAAGTTACCGTGTGCCTAAGCATATGCTAGGTGTTTACGTTATATTTAATCCCTCCCTCAGACCCATGGGACCTTCATTATCATTTGCTTTTCTCACATAAAATGAGATCCAATATACTTCAGTTATTTGCACAGGTTATCCAAATAGTCATCCAAAAGCCAAGAGTATAATTTATGTCTTTGGTTTCCCAGGGGTAGGAGAGAAAGAAGCATGAGGCAAATTCATCCCTCTCTCCGCATTTAATATCCAGCTGTGAACACCAGCAGATCTTCGATAATTGGCTACTAACTTGAGTGCAGATAGCTAGTTAGTAGCGCAATTGAAAAATCCATGTTTTCTATTTCTTTGTAAAAAAATGGTGTGTGTGTGTGTGT